TTCTGTTCAACTGTCCAACAAAAACTTAGTAACATGGTTGTCAGTCCTATACACTTAAACATACATGCAGTTATCCATATCTTTTTTTTATTTAAAGAGAAAGACAAAACTAAATGAAGCAAGACAGTAAAAGGCTAGACGTAATACAGAATTTCAAGAGAAAAAATATACAGTAAGAGTTCACCAGTTAATAGATCACACATTGTCATCTTACAAATAACTGTCCAGATTACATAATTAAAGCATACAAAGTGGAGATTAACACAGTGAGACTGCAGTCAGTTCTGTTCAATGATCCAAGAAAAACTCAGCAATATGGTTCTCTATCCTACACATTTAAATAAACTTGCAGTTATATCCTTTAGATCACTTTTCTTCCTCTTTTTTACGCTAACAATCACACCTTTTAGTTTCCATTACTTCCACAGTTTTTTTAACTTTTTCTTTGAAGGGGAAAAGAAAAAAGATTGAAAAAAAGGCCAAAAAACAAAAAACAAAACAAGACAGACCAAAGAAAAACCCAATGTGACAAAGCAAAACAGAGTCAGTTAGATCAGAGGGATGGACATAGCATAAAATGAAAAAAAAAGGGGGGGATTACTAGGTGATCAACAATGGTTACCATTATGCCTCTTGTTATCCTAAAAAGAGTAGCCTATATCAGCTAGTATAAAAGAATTGAACAAAACTGTACATAAGACCAATAAAACTACATTGGAGAGCTTGCAGGATTCCAAAGAAGATAATAGTCAAATAATAATGGGCATCATAGAATATCTGATTGCCTTCCAAATGGTTGCCTATACCCTCAAACTTGATACTATTAAGCAAAACAGAATATAATAAAATCAATCAGAACAAGCGGTGGAGAACACTACAGGGGTTCACATCAGGTTAATAGGGACATGAGTGTGACTTCTCAGCTCCAGTATAGAACCCTCATCCCACCAGCACAGCTCCTTCACCCTGCTGGCATGGACTTGCTGGTTTCCACTGCTAACCTTTGGGCCTTCCCGGCACAGATCCGTAAAAGAGACTGGCGTGAGTCATTCTTGCAGGCTCTAGACTTCCGGCTGGACTCATGGGAGGCATTGTCATGAGCTCTGAGTTTTTATGTGGACCCATGTGGGACATTGCTGTGGGATTTAGGCTCTTGACTAAATAACCTATGTCTTTGGTCTGCATTTTCTTGTGTTAACTGCCAGTGACCATTATAAAAATAATGTTATAAACTCCATGTCCTGATTCTAATTGTTCTCTCTGCACAGCCCTTGACTACAACAACTGCATTCTGAAACTAAGCTACTGCCTGAACTGGAGAACCTGGGAGATTATAAGTGATATCCAAGTTAGGAAGAATAAGAAGTTAAGTCAATTTGTCCTACTAACTGAAAAGTGATTAATGTTTGAGAGATGCAGACATTCCTGAAATGCTATTTGGGTTTCAATAAAGGAACACAAAGTTATCTCAGGTCAACTCAGCTCAGTTTTCATGATGGACATGTACTCACACTTTGCATCCATCAAATAAGCCTGTTGATCCAGCTGTCTTGATATCTTTTAAATGAGGAGAGAATTGAGTCACAGAAAGAAATATCTTTGAGACTTTGTAAAAGTTTTTCACAAATTTATTCCAATTTGTCATTCAGTGTTTATTATATATTTGTATCTTTAGTGTCCTTCTTGCTTGTAAAATATCAATATTATGAAGATGGTAAGTAATCTCAGCATTGCTTATCTCACCAACTTAATGAACATATCCACAGAGGAAACTATGTGGGAAGAGAGTGCTTTCTTTGTAGAGATTCTATGGATATGCAAAAGTACACTTCAATCTGAGTTCATTTGTATTTCACTAACTCTACCAAGGCTACTACCAATGTAAAATTGTATGTGACACCAGCTGACAACTGTTACCAAATCTACAACTGGCAGCCTGACACTTGTCCTTGAATCATTGTATGTGTGGACAAATAAATGTGTTCATTTATATATACAGAGAGTCCACTGTATATTCCATCAGATGTCTCCTGAATAAATACTGTCACATGCCAAGATGAGCTGTTCAACAAGCTCCCCTGCACAGATGTGGTTGAAATTGTGAACAAATATTTTACCTATGGCATGTCCACCTACACAGAATAGTGTTCAGAAGCCACAGAAAAATCACAAGTGGGAAGTGTTGATGAATGATAATGGCTAATTTTTGGGCTTACTGACAAGACTCACTGAGTGTTTTCTTACTTTCTAAAGACTATGAACATAAAGGAAGTCAATGGTAAGGTGTGCATGACTGTCCACTGCTAAATCTGATAAACACTTAACTCTGTTAGCTAAGTTGATGAGCACCTATAAATTCTGGCAGAGTGTGATTCCAGAGAATGAAGCAAAAAAGTATATAATCACAGACCAATTTTCTCCTATTTCTCTAAGGAATAGTGACATATCAGTGGGTAATACGTGGTTTATATTATTGGCAATGTTGTGCTCTGTTGAGTGAAGTAAAAACAGAAACAAGCAATGGTGAAATTAAGTGGAAAGGACAACAAAAGTAGTGTGGAGGAGAAATATAATTTGCCCAGAGGAAAAAAAATAGCTTTATTCAATAGAAGAAAATGGTGATAAAAAACTACTAGAAGTGGATTTTGCCCAAAGTTAAAGATAGCTAGGAGTCTAGAATTGGACTCAGAAGATTTTAAGATGAGGAAATTCCTTGGATAAAGATCTATAGATAAAACTTGTTTAGAATGATTAAAGGTGCATATTGCAAAATGTGGAGAGCAGTGGAGATAAGGGTAGGTTGGAAAATATTTACTTTCCACAAGTTCATTGGAGATTCCCATGAGAGTGAACATTCTGTACTTTGTTTATATGATGGTATTATACATAAGCTAAAGTCAAAGAAATTCAGAACGAGGTGTGATTGTTTCATTGTCAATTGCCAAGCTGAAATGGGAACTGGACTCCTTTAAAGCTGGTGATGAAAGAGGAACTCTCCTGCACTGTTGGTGGGAGTGTAGACTAGTGCAACCATTGTGGAGGTCAGTCTGGAGATTTCTTAGAAAGCTGGAACTGGAAGCCCCATTTGACCCAGCTATTCCACTTCTAGGCATATTCCCAGAAGAGCTGAAAGCATCATCCCACAGTGATATATGTGCACCCATGTTTATAGCAGCACAATTTGTAATAGCCAGATCTTGGAAACAACCTAAGTATCCATCAACTGAGGAATGGATAAAAAAGTTGTGGTATTTTTATACAATGGAGTACTACTCAGCTATAAAGAATGATCACATTGAGACATTTATAAATAAATGGATGCAGGTTGAGACCATACTCATAAGTGAAATAAATCAAACTCACATGTATAAATACCAAATAGTTTCCTAGAGTAAGTAATTATAAGAATACATAAAAGTACATGGTAATCATGATTCCCAATCACACTGGTTTGAAGCCATATAATATTTTTACTCATTAATTGGAATGGTTTTAATCTGGGTTGTTTTATATTATTGTCTGTGATACTATGAATAGCTATTTTGAAGAAAATAAGACAGTGTGATAGCTGGTGCTGATTTAATACATCCTGTTTTGAAGCCCCATCAAGTTGTTATTCATCTGTTTCCATTAGTTTTAGCATGTTGTATCTTCTCATATTTTAATGTATGCAATAGTATAAGCAAAATTTTTTATAGGCAAAGAGATAACATAGAAACTGTTATGTTACATAGAAACATAGAAATGTTCGGTTTCTGTTAGCTGGTTCTAAATACCCTGCCATACTTTCATTCTCTTAAATGGTTTCACATTGTCTTGATAAGTTTGATTATAGTATACGAAGTTAGACTCAAATATTTCAAGGAAAGAAACATTATGGTAACTACTATTAATGTCAGGCTATCTGGTGGTGAAACACAATGATGCTTAAATTGTTTGGTTCTGACCTGTGTTGTTCTATTGATATGCTCTTTTTTATCTCAATCTCCCCCCACCCCTTTTTTTCTTTTTTTAAAAAATTAATTTATTTCTTAGGATCTTTTAATTAAGGGAAAACTAAATTTAAAATAGTGGAATATATTATAGTAACTCTTTTGTTTTCCTATTAACCTGACTTGAACCCTTGTATTGTTCTCCACATCTTGTTCTGATTGATTTTATTATATTCTGTTTTGTTTAATAGTATCAAATTTGAGGGTATAAGCAACCATTTTGAAGGAAACCAGTTACTCTATGATGCCCATTATGGTTTGACTATTATCTTCTTCGGAAGTCCTGTAAGGTCTCCAATGTGGGTTTTATTGGTCTTGTTCTGTACTGTTTTGTTCAATTCTTTTATACCAGCTGATATAGGCACCTCTTTTTAGGATAACAAAAGGCATAATGGTAACCATTGTTCATCACCTAGTGATCTCTTTTTGCATTATATACTATGTCCATCCTCCTGTTCTGACTGACTCTGTTTTGCTTTGTCACATTGGGGTTATTTGTTCTGTTTTGTTTTGTCTTGTTTCTTGTTTTATGTTTTTTTTTCTTTTCCTCTTCAAAGAAAAAGTTATAAGAATTGTGGGAGTAATGGAACCCAAAATGTGTTGTTGTTAGCATAAAAAATGGAGGAAAGAAAGTGATCTAAAGGATATAACTGCAAGTGTATTTAAGTGTGTAGGATAGAAAATCATATTACTGAGTTTTTGTTGGATCGTTGAACAGAACTGTCTGCAATCTCACTGTATTAATGTCCACTTTGTATGCTTTAACTTTGTAACTTGCACAACTGTTTCTGAGATGACAATATGTAATCTATTGACTTACTGAAATCTTACTGTACATTTTTTCTCTTGAAATTCTGTATTACTTGTAGCCTTTTACTGTCTTGCTTTGTTTTGTTTTGTTTTTCTCTTTAAATAAAAAAAAATGCTGGTGTTGCCCAAGAGGACATTTTACTGGCTGGAGGTCTTGTCCCACCTACTTTCTCAGAACATTTACATTCCACATTTTCTCACTGCTTTTCAAATAGTAGAGGTCTGCTGGGTCTCCTGGAAAATTTAAAGGCAAATTTGGAGTAAAATTGACAATGGACTTGATCTGGAACTTTTCCATGGAAACCTGGGTTTTTCTGGTTCTCTGTCTCCTGCTTCTCTATGTGTGAGTAAATGTCTATGCTCCTTTTCTCTCTTCTCCTATTTCCCAATGCTGACATTTTGAACATCCTCCTCTCATTTCTGTATTTCTGTGTCTACAATGGGATGGATAAGAATGTTCCTAGTGTAACATTATTGACTCTCATTTGAATCTAGAATAATGAATCATAAGTTTACAGGCTACTGACACCATGTGAAGCAGTAATTTCACTTCTATTCAAAGCTTAAAATTCTAGAACAGATGGTTTATGATGTACCTGTCCCAGAAACTTTGCCTTGCTTATTCTGTCTTTTGGAAGAGAAGAGTGGAAGTCTTGTACCCCATGGCTTTGGGTGTTTCCTTTCCGTTCTGTCCTTAATCCACAGAATCCTGTACACAGTGCTGATTCTTGTGCAACCCAGATTTCACAGGCAGTTCTGAACATACCTTTCCCTCTTTTAGAGTTTACTTTGACAACACATACACTTTTTGCCCTTATCTATGACCCTCCTTTGGGACTCTCCTTCCTACATCTCAATGGCTCCAAATAGAAGTAACCACGACTACTTAATTTTAAATGAAATGTTTCTAGACTGAAGCACTAAATCTCTATACAAACCTTGGAGAAATTCAAAAGCCCATTTGTTTCTTCCAGAAGTACACTTTGAGTATCCTTCACACAACTGGTCTTTCATGCAGTATTTTGGCTCCATTCTATGACATTTTATGAGATTTATGAGACATGCAAAGAATATTTTACAACTATATTGCTTCATACCATCCCTCTCCAGGAGGAAAAATGTGCATTTTTTAAAAATCATTTTTAAAAAATCACTCATAAGCACCTGCCTTGCAAGCAGGTAGTCGTGAGTTCAATCCCCGGTACTGATAAAAATGAAAAAGACAAAAAAAAAAAATCACTCAATTATAAAATGGTCACTTATTTTATGTTGCATAATATGATCATTGCTATTAATAAGAAGGTTCATAAACTCTAGAAGGTCCTATCTCCTGTACTGGTAAACACTATGGCATATTAAAAAATTTTATACATAGCATAATTTTATCCACATTTTTTCTTTTCTGCTATGGGGTAATTTGTAAGCCTAGAAATTCTGTGGTAATGTGATGGCCTGTAGCCTCTTTCTTAGTCTCTCTTGTTTGTACTGTCTGTCTTCTGTCACTCATACTGGAAAGGAATGCTTTGCAAGATCCAAAAATTCTGTCAGTGAGTATCTAGACATGGCATATCAGAATGTATTGCCCTGGAATGTACCTGACTATTGGATTCTGTACAGATACAATGGAATTAAAGCATCAATATGCTAATAATGATGTTATGATTCAGCTTTATAAACAGTAAGACTTCTTGTCGCTAAACTAATGAGTTGCATCAGCTTGTTGCCCACATCCACTGAGGAGAGGAACAGTCTCCATATGTATCCGTTAGTTATTCATTCTCCCACATAGTTTCTTGAAGGTAACATAACCTTCTTTATATCTAAAATCAATAAGATTGCTCGCAATAGATACTTTGGTGTCTCTCAATCATTTATACTACTTTGAGACCAGTGGAGGCTTGAACTCTTCTGTCACTCTGTAGCAAGAAAAGCATTATGGCTATTACCAGGTTTTTCTGGGAAGACAGGTTTAAAAAAGACCAGATACTAAAGGAAAAGCATGGCCCATGGAAAAATTAAAACATCTAAATAAATTGTGAATACAATGTCATTACAGAATCTCCATCACCATGTGTCTCTGATTAGATAGATTTACATGAGATTTTGGTATGAAGGAGAAATAATTGACTTTTCCTTAGAATGCATGTATACATCTTCCTCATGGAAATGCAGTTTTCCTAATTAATATCAGCAAAATAAATATCCTGGAAAAATTCCAGTGTTACCCTTATGGGGGCACTCAAATTTGTGTGAATTTATCAGTATTAACTGTAGGCTTGAGGGCATACAACCGATTGATTTAACTAATTTTTGTCAGTTTTACAAGGTCTCTGTGGAGGTGTCACAGGAGATAGTAGGTGAATGTACTATTTTTACTTGCAGGTTTACAGTTATTTATCATACGTGTAATACCTTTTGCCTTGACAAAGTTCCTAAATCAGTGACAGGTATACTATTATGTATGTAAAGTTTCCAACATGTTGACCTGGATTTCTATTTAATTTTTTTAGATATGGGACCTACACATATGGACATTTTAAGAAGCTGGGAATTCCTGGTCCAAAACCTCTGCCTTTTTTAGGGAATGTATTGTCCTATGCCCAGGTGAGTTGCATTTGTGGATTTTTGTTTTCTTCTGACTGACAACAGTGGCCTAGTTCTATTTATAAAATTGGTCTTTTAGGGGCTGGGGATTTAGCTCAGTGGCATAAGCACCTGCCTTGCAAGTAGGCAGTCGTGAGTTCAATCCCCAGTGCCAATAAAAATGAAAAAGACAAAAAAAATTGGTCTTTCAAAGAAAATTCTGAAGTTTCTGACTTCCAGAAACTCTATGGATAATGCTGCAAGTAGAGCTAAGTTTTCCCTGAGTCTGTATTCAACACTGTGGAGTCTGGGGTTTGCCTCAATAACAACAAAAATCTCTGGCAGATCAACAATGGATGGTCAGGACATAGAATTCAGATGATGTGAGCATTGAAGGGGTACTTTTATCTTTGCCTGATACATATTTTTTGAAATATCTGTTGTAACATGAGCATTAGAGAACTGCTCACAAAGGGTACCTTGTAGTAGATCATGTACGTATACATCACATATTCAAATTTTCCTGCTCACACCAGAGTTCATGAGTAGCATTTCCTTTTCTTTTTACTGAATAATTTAAATTCACATGGGTGCCTTACCAGAAGAAATATTGGATTTTACAGCACAGAAGTGCAAACTGAGAACTAGTATTTAATTTGCTATGTCTATAAGTAGATGTGGCATTTGCCCCATCATCCTATGTTGAGCTGAAGCACTGACTCATTTTCTCAACTGATAACATGCTTAAGGAACATAAAAATGGCTAGAATAAATGAGATCAATTCAGTGCTTCCTAATTCCACCAATATTCTAGAGAAAGGAGATGAGACCTATAAAAATAGTAAATAAAGAGTGAAAAGACTGCACATCTAAGGAAAACTCATTCACTGTGCCCATGGAGAGGATGATGAAGAGCTCAATAATTATATTTTTAATATTTGAGATCGTTTAGAAACACTAAATCTACTGGAGGACAAGGTAGATAGAAATTTTGCAGACATAGCAGTAGACAGAGACATCATGAACAAAATAAAAATCACATGAGAAAAATACAAGGAATAAACACCTTGGACCTCATATTACTAAAAAGTTTTTTTCGCTTGAAAAACCACAAACAATGTGAAAACAAAACTCACAGAATAGGAAAGAATTTTAGCCAACAATCACTCAGACAAAGGGCTTATCTGCCGAACATATAAAGAACTGAAAAACAGCAGTACTCCCAAATTCAAAGATCCTCTCCAAACATGGGCATTGGAGATGAACACACATTTCTCAGATGGAGATATACAAATGGCAAATAAGTATGTGAAGAAATGCTCACCATCACTGGTCATTTGAGAAGTACAAATTAAAACAACTCTAAGATAGCATCTCACTCTGGAAAGAATGATTGCCATCAAGAAATTAACTGATGGCAAATGTTGATGAAACTATGAGGAAAAAGGAACACTTCTCCACTGTTGGTGGGAGTGTAGCCTGGTACTACCATTGTCAAAATCAGTATGGAGATTTCTTAACAAACTAGGATTGGCAGTTCCATTCAATCCAGTTATTCACCTCCTGAGTGTTTTCCCAGAAAATCTGAATATTACATCACAGTGATACATGTGCACTCATGTTTGCAGCAGCAAATGTTGAAACAACCAGAATGTCCATTAATCAGAGACTGGATGAAAAAGATGTGGGTTTTTTTGCAATGGAATATGACTCAGCTATTAAAAAGATGATCTCGAGACTTTTATAGGTAAATGGAGGCAAATTAAGACTATCCTCATAGGCTCCCTGGAACATGGCAGACAGATAGCAGCAGCTATGCAGGCTCTCTGCAAGACCCAGCTTAGAATCCAGGAATGGTGTGGAGTGAGGAATCCTAACCAAGAGGAGATATACCCTGCTGACCCAAGAACAAACTGGGCTGAGAGATACCAACTGGGAATGCAATCCTGCTGCTATAACAGGAACAGATAAAGCCTGAGCATGGAAGCTGGAGCCCCCACCATTGGAAGCCATGATTTGGGTTTCCTGCCGCCACAGCTGCATCTGAATCAGCTCGGCAGGGAGAAAGAAGTGAAAGCTCTGAGAACAGGAATCGGTGAACGGAGTTGAGAGTGGAATGGGTGGGGAGCCATACATCGACCTTCAGTGAGCGAGGGAAACTGGGACTCTTCCACAGTCTAGGAGGCTCCAACAGAGGACATTCTGGGACCAGGAAGACTTGCCGGAATAGGGCGCTGTAGTGACTTCAGTTACATATCCCCCTCTCAAGCAGGATTGGTGAGCAGTGCCTACCCTACATGATGCTGCTGGCTGAGACCCAGTAGGCTAGCACAACACAGGTCTCCGTGCCTGGAGGTGCACCCTAGTGGTGAAACCTTAGGTAGGTTTACCTGGAGGGGGGGGCCTCGAATAGGCTGCCTGGTCAGTAACTCCCTGGTGCGTTGCAGTGGGCGGGAACACTTAGCTGGTGCAATTCAGTCAGACTGTGGCCAACAGGGAAGGAAGCTGGGCCTCTTATATATGCTTGCATATATAAGGAACATGGGAGAGGATAGAGAATAAGAATATGGGAAGAGGGAGCAACAAGAAAGGCTCCTCAGCCCCCATCCTGAGAAACAGGCAATAGCAGACACGCCACCAATAAACATAAAAGGCTATCTCCAGTGCCTCATAGACGAGTTCAGGAATGAAGTTATTAATGACCTGAAGCAAGACATAAACAAAATAGTTAGAGAACTGCTAAGCACCACCCAAGAAAAAGCAGATGGTGAAATGGAAGAACAGAAAAAGAGGGGAGAATTGTTTGATGGAGAAAATAGAGAAAACATAGAATACATGAAGCAGGTTCAAAGAGATTACCAGGAAACTAAAAGCTCTATCGAAAACTGGCATAACAGCTTGAAAGAAACTAAGGATAGATTATCTGAACTGGAGGACAGATTTGTAATGTGGGAGCATAAAATGAAAAACTTCTTAAAATAACAAAGAAACAAACAGCAACAATACAAAGACTAGAAGATGATAAGAAGATCTCTAACTTAAGAACATAAAAGAAGAGGTAGGGACACAAACAAATGAACTACAAAAGCTACTCGCAGAAATAATCCAGGAGAATTTTCCTAATTTAGCAAAGGGTAAAAATACTCAGATGTATGAAGCATACAGGACACCAGCCAGCTACAACCCAAACAGAGCTATACCCAGAGATATAATAATTAAAATACCAAAAATCCAATATAAGAAAAAAATATTAGAAGCCGTCAGAGATAAGAAACAGAACACTTACAAGGGAACATCCATCAGAATTACAGCAGACTTCTTGGCACAAACCATCAAATAACAAAGATTGTGGGGGAAAATAATTCAAGCTTTGAAATATAATAACCTCCAGCCAAGATTGAGATATCCTGCACAACTATCCCTGGAAATTGATGGAAAAACAAGGTACTTTCAGGAAAAAGAAGAACTAGGGGAATATGCAGCCACCAATTCAACTCTACAGAGAATACTGCAGGATATTCTAAAAAAGAAAAATATGAAGAATCCAGAAATGTGGCTAAGAGGCCACAATGAATGGAGCAGAAAACAAAATGAAGAAGACAAACTGACAACTAATGACAGAAACAGAGCTCAAGAGAAATGAGGCAGAGAAGATTAGATGATAGGAACAGCTGTCTTGGAGAAAATGATGTCATAATAGGCAGTGCTGATTTGGTATCATCTTATTTTGAAGTTCTATCAAGCTTTTGTTCTTCTGTCTCCATAGGTCTTAACATGTGTATCTTATTGGATTTTATTATATGTGATAGTATAAACAAAAACTTTTATAGACAAGGAGATTATACAGAAACCATAGTTCATTATCTGTTAGTTGATTCTAAATACCCTGTAATACTGTCATTCTCTCGAATGGTTTCGCATTGTTTTGATATATTTGATGCTAGAGTATATGAAGTTATACTCAAAGATTTCAAGGAAAGAGACAATATGGTAACTACTTTTATGTCGGGATTATCTTGTGGTGAAACACTAATTTGCTTAAATGGTTATGTTTTGATCTGCACTGTTTAGTTGTTATGCCCTCTTTTATCTCAATTTCCATTTTATTATATCCTTTTTTATTTTTATCCTTTTAATTAAGGGAAAAATAAATAAGAAATAGCAGGATATGTTATAGTAACCCACTTTGATTTTCTATTAACTTGATTTGAAGCCCTGTATTGCTCTCGCCATCTTGTTTTTACTGATGTTCCTCTATTCTGCTTTGCTTGATAGTACCAGGTTTAAAAGTTTAGGCAACAACTGTGAAGATAGTGGGATTCATTATGACGCCCATACTGGTTGACTATTATCTACTTTTGAAGACCTGTAATGTTTCCAATGTTTTGGTTTTGTTGGTTTCGTTCTTTACTGTTTTGTTCAATTTTATTATAACTGATGATATAGGCAATTCTATTTGAGATAGCGGGAGGCATTATGGTAACCATTGTTCATCACCTTGTATTATGTTTTTACATTATCTATTATGTTCACCCTTCTGATTTAACCAATTCTGTTCTGTTAAGTCACATTTGGTTTTACTCTCTTCCAAAAAAAGTAATAAGAACTGTGGGAGCAATAAAACCCAAAATGTGTAATAGTGATTGGACAAAAGAGAGGAAAAGTGCTCTAAGTGGTATAACTGCATGTAATTTTAAGTGTATAAGATAGACAATATCACTGAGTTTTGTTGGATCATTGAACAGAACTCTTTGCAGTCTCACTGTTTGAATGTCCACTTTATATGCTTTAATTTTGTAACTTGAACAAATATTTCTAAGATGACAATATGTAATCCATTAACTAGTGATTTCCTACTGTTTATTTTTTTCTGAAATTCTGTATAACTTGTACCCTTTTTCTGATGTTTTTCCTTTTTCTCCTTAAATAAAAAAGAGACTATCCTCATAAGTGAAATAAGTTATACTCATATTTGTAAATCTTGTATTGTCTTTCTAGTGTAAAAATTAATAATAGTAATAATTATAATAAACTGAAAGACTAATAAGATCAAAAATATATAATAGATATTATAATAATGTATGGGGGAAAAAGTGCTAAAAAGGAAAGGACTATTTGTAGATATATATATATATATAACAGTATGTATGTCTAAGTGTGAAAGATAGAGAACCATATTACTAAGTTTTTGGTAGTTCATCAAACAGAATAGTTTGTGCTATCATTGTTTTCATTGTTCATTATTTATGCTTTCATTTTGTAACTTAAACAACTACTTCTAAGATAACAATATGTGGTATATCAACTAGAGATGATTTCTTAATGTTATTTTTTGAAATTCTATTTCATTTCTACCCTTTTGTTTTGTTTTACATTTTTTAGATAAAAAATTTTTCCCATTTTCTGGATTTTCTTTTCACTCTGTTAGTAATTTTTTGGAAATGCAAAAATTGTTTAATAAGATGATATCCTAGCCATAAATTCTTTGAATGACTTTCCATATATTTTATGTTTTGTTCATGAACCCTCTGCCTACATCTATGTCATCAGGATTTCTATCTACTTTGTTTTCCAGCAGTTTAAAATGTTTCTGGTTTAATATTTGAATCCTAATCCATTTTGACTTTAGTTTAGTGCAAGGTGATAGTCATGTGTCTAGTTTTAGTCTTTGACATGTAGAAAGCCAGTTTTTCCAAGCACCATGTATTGAAGAGGCTTTCTTCCAGTGACTATGTTTGGTACTTTTGTCAAAGACAAGGTGGCTGCATGTGTGTATAGTTGTGTCTGCATCCTCCAGTCTCTTCCACTGTTTCTAAGTTCTGTTGTGTTGTTTTGTTTTTACCATTACCATGCTTATCTCATCACAGTAGCTTTTTAGTATAATGTCAAGTCAGAGGTTATAATGCCTCCAGCCTTGGCTTTGTTGCCCAGAAATGCATTTGCTTTTTTGTTCTCTTCTGTTTCCACATGAATTTTAGGAATGTTTTCTCTAGATCTGTGAGGTGTATTCATGGTATTTTGATCAGAATTACATTAAATCTGTATAACATTTTTGGGAGTATGATCAGTTTCATTATGTTGGTTCTTCCTATCTAAAAGCAAGGGATAGCTTTCCATTTTCTGAGATCTTTTCTGATCTCTTTTTTCAGAGTACTGTAATTTTCAGTATATTAGATCTTTTACTTCCTTTATTCAAACAAATCCTTGACATTTTTTTCTTTTGATGCTATTGTTAAAGGTATTATTGCCATAATTTCTGCCTGGTGAGTTTGTTATATATGTATGGGAATGCTACTGATTTTCGAGTGCTAACTTTGTATACAGCTACCCTGCTGAATTTGATTATTAAACCTAACAATGTTTAGAGATGGTTTTGGGAGTCTTTATGTAGAATATCACATTATCTGTAAATAATAATAATTTAACTTCTTCCTTTCCTATTCTTTTATATCTCTAACATCTAATTGCTTTGGCCAGTGTTTTCATAACTGTATTGAACCAAAGTGTTGATAGTGACCATCCTTATCTTGTTCCTGATTTTAGATCAAAAGCTTTCTATTTTAGTAAATTTGGTATAATGTTGGTTCAGAGATGGCATTTGTCAGATTGAGGTAAAGATCATGTAGTCTGATTTTATGTATGGTTTTTATCATGCATGGGTGTTGGACTTAATCAAAAACTGTTTCTGCATCTACTGAGATGATCTTAGGGTTTTTCTCATTGGCTCTGTTGACATGATGTATTACATTTATTGATTTGTATATGTTGAATCATTCTTGCATTTCTAGGATTAATCTCACCTGTTCATGGTGTATAATCTTGTTGATGATTTCTTGCATTCCATTTGCCTCGTATTTTATTGAGGACTTTTGCATGTGTATAATGAAATATTACTCAGCTATTAAAAAGCATATTGAAGCCTTTATAGAAAAATGCAGGCAGGTGGAAACTATCCTCACAAGTGAAATAAACAAGATTCACATTAGTAAATCTCAAAATGTCTCACTAGTGTAAACAACAGTAAAAACTGAAAAAGTAATAAGACCCAAAATGTATAATAGATATTGTAAATATGAAAGAGAAGGAGAGGTCTCTATGGTTTGCACTGTCAATGTTTGAGTGTCTATCCATGTTTTATGCTTTGATTTTGTAAGTTGAACAACCATTTCTAAGATAACAGTGTGTAATGTACCAATTAGTGATTCAAAATAATTTGAGATTTTTGAGACAGGGTCTCACTGTACAATTCAGGCTAACCTCACACTCACAGCAGTTCTCTTACCTCAGCCTCCTTACTACTGGAATTACAGACATGCACCACCAAATCTGAAAGCTCAAGAATTTTAGAGATATTACATGCATAAGTAAAAATTCAGAGAACTGCTTAACTTTCATAAACAATAACTCCTTTGAAATGTACTATACCTGAGAAAAGTCAATAGTGACTCTAAATTCTGCATTTGGAATATCTCCTTGCATTTTTCTCCTTTCCTTTCAGGGGCCTCTTAATATGCCTTTCCTCTACCTGCCAGTGATGGATAGTCTGAATTAGTTGGTTTCCATGCATTCATTCCAGAATTAGACATGTAGCCAGGTTATTCTGAATATCAATCAGTTCAAAGTTTTTTTTTCATCCCAGGGTTCATGGAAGATTGATGTAGAGTGCTATAAAAAGTATGGAAGTATTTGGGGGTGAGTATACAAGAAAAACTGCAATGGGTAAACTTGTGATACTACTGATATGAGAACAATGTCAGCCACAAGCTCTGGGAATGCAGCTGTGTATTCTGAGGCATTTCGAAGCTTATGCTGCCAAGGATCCCAAAGCCAAGCAAATGTTAAGGTCTACAATATAATTAGATTGAGAACTCTGTCAGAACTACAGTCTCCTAGGTGACTGTACAGGAATTTTAGTCTCTACCTCATTCTTCTGCTGGTGAAGTAGAAATATAGCATATGGTTGAATCATTGCATTCCCTCACTTGCTTCCATCATGGTTTTGCAGGTAGGCCTGAGCCATGTGCCACCACTCTTCCCTTTCAGAGACACTGGAGGTCTAGAGAGTTATGGAAAGCATGTAATCACATACTTTGCTCTATGCATGTAGAAGAAAGTTTTACATCTTTTTACCTCTTCTTACTAGTTCTCAAAATCCTCAGGACTAGTCACAGGTTTCTACTGATTTCACACAGCCCATAATAACTTTGTGACACAAATAGCAAGCAAACACAAACTTAAATATCCACCAATACAACCTCCACTGCCCCATGCAACATTTAGTACTTATGATCACTTGATAGTTTGTTTTTAATTTTGTACCTACATGATAATGCTTCTGATATTAAGATAATTTATTTTAAATTTAATTTTTATTTTCTCAAAGTTGGAGATTGTAATATGAACCTTGCAAATACTATGTAATCATTGAATTACACTCAGAACCTTTACACTGAAATATTTAAAATATCAAAAACTTCATATTGGCAATAACTCCAATGGGACTTAACAGTAATTCCAAGGTTATTTAAATTATGAACTTTTTCAGAGTTATTTTGTATTTAATGTCTGTTTCTTATTGAAGCTCCTTACCCTTCATTCTGTGAAGAGTTCAGTGACCTCTGTGTTCAGAAATTCTAATGTAAACCTGGGGTTATCGCTGGTATGTATGGTTAATCAGGCATGTCCCTTGTACAGTGTCAAAGGATCAAAATCTGGAGATTCCTGGGTAGAGGGCCAGTTGTACAATCTGGCAGGTTGGGTTGAATCAGCTCTGTTTTCTTAATGCAGGTTATTTGAAGGTAGACAACCGGTTTTATTGATCATGGATCCAGACATAATCAAGACAGTGCTTGTCAAAGAATGCTATTCTACCTTTACAAACCGCCGGGTAGGCATTTGCATTATGAAAATGTAAACCTGTCTTATTTATTAAACTTTGAATCTGAAATAATCATATATTCATAATAAGTCTTGAAAATAATGAACAGGAAGTTTCAGTCGACATTTTATGCTGGATTTTCTCCCAATAGGATCTTGCACATAATTGTAACATTTTCCTTTCTCAATATGGTTAGAGGAGATTGACACAGATGAAACCCATAGAATGTATTAACATTTCCTCAGCTTAATCATGACATCACCTTATGTATATGTGTGTGTGTGTGAGACAGAGAGAGAAATAGAATGCGAAAGAGAAAGAGTAAGTCTATCACCATGTGTATCTCCATGCAAATTCATCACAGTGCATATTTATGTAACCAGGAGCACATGTAAATGACAGCCTTGTTCCTTCACCATAAGGTTCTTCCTGCTAGCCTTTTATACACACAAGATTAACTTGTCTTTCAAGTTAACACGGCAGTGAACAAAGAAAGGAACTTTAATTTTTAGGTGGCCAAATTTCTTTGTTTTTATTTTTATGCATTGTGTTTTGGTGTTAAGACTGACATTTATTTGAACAGTAGTGATATGGGACTTTTTTGGTATAAGTCATATATCTTTAGGCACTCTTCCCTCCATTGGATTCCTCTTGCACTAGTATCAAAAATCAGTCCCTCTATAGTTTGAGTACCTGATTTATTATTTTTTAAATATCAAAGCATACAAAATTATTGGACTGATTTATTATTTTTTAAATATCAAAGCATACAAAATTATTGGTGAGATTTTGATAAAAATAGAATTAAGTTAATAGATAGATTTGAGTGCCAACTGTGTTAACCTCCTCTCTTCATGATATTGAAGCTCCCAGTTCATAAACACAGTATGCCTTCCAAGCTCTTTTATTCTTCTCATTAGCATATTGTAATTTTCAGCATATAAATAAATTTTATACAAGTTTTAGAATAATTTCCAAATATTTTGTTTTCCTTTTAGCATTTTAAAATGTATTGCATTTTCAATGGTTTTTACATGTTTTTGTTACATGCAAAAGTGGTGGGATTTTATAGTAATCTATTACCCTGCAATATTGCTAACTTGCCTTGCAAGACCTTTGGTACATGTTTGAAACCTTCTCTACTGATCATGGTATTATGTGAAAATAGAGCCATGTATATTTTCATATTTCTAATCTTTGTTGTTTGTATTTATTTTTATTGTTTTATTGCAATGGTTAGGACTTCTAGAATGACTCTGAAATACAATAAAGAGAATGGTAATTGTTTAATTGTTCATTATATTGGGGGAAACATTCATCCTTCTCTGTTAAGTGTGACACTGATATTTCATTTTTAATTTCATTTAATTGTTTTACCAAGTGGGAGGTCTCCTTCTTCCTAATTTTTTGAGGTTTTATCATAAATGAATGTTGAGAAAGTTCCTTGGAGATAAAGCATGGTTATGGATGATGGCAAAAAGTTGTAAACAGGGAAATACTATACAAGTATTTTTCTTTCGGTCTTTGCATAAGCATTAAGGGCCAAAATGTCCATTAACTGCACTATTTGTTTGGGTTGTCAAAAAATTCCTAATTCTTTATGTATGAGCTATAATTTAAAAATGAGAATTCACTCCCATTTTCTATCCTGCTGATGTTGTAGACAGATGTAAATTTAGGGCTGGTTTGAGCCATCATAAATTTTGCCCAGGTCACCTGCTGTCATCAGTCTACTCTAAAAATGGAAGGTCTTGAAGGATATAAGGGGACCTGTTGCTGTGTATTCTCCAGGAAATTTATTGTAAAAATATGAGTTTGTATACTTATAATTTTGCATAATTATATAAAAGTTGAACCAATACCAGATGACTGAGTGTCCCCAACACACTCAGAGAGCCTAGGTGTATATAGTAAATATTTATTGAGAATCTAGCATGGAGCCTGCCACTTGGGAGACAATTACTAAATATTTATTAAACAGGTGATTAATGCCCAATAAATTGTCTACAAATGTGAAAATTTTCTATACTTCTTTACAAAGAAATATCTTTTATTTTGGACCCTAGGAAATTCGTCCAGCAGTCCTGATGAAAAAATCAGTCCTCTTATCTCAGGATGAGCAGTGGAAGAGAATACGAACATTGCTGTCTCCCACTTTCACCAGTGGAAAACTGAAGGAAGTAAGCATACATGAGGATTTTTAATTGAAAATTTAAAGAATGAATCTACGGAAAAGTATAAAGATCCTAGTCTCTTTTCATGGGGTATCCCTCTGCAGATGAGTACTAAAAATGGCTTTTTTCCCTTTGAAGATCTTGCAGAAATTACACAGTTTCTTATAAAATCCTATGTATGGCTTCATCATTGGAAATGTTTTATATTATGGGGATTTCGGTGTGTGCATTCAGCTGCAGATGATGTTTCTTTTGCTTAGATGTTCCCTATTATTGAACACTATGGAGATATGTTGTTGAAAAACCTGACTCGAGCAGCAGAGAAAGATGTGCCAGTACCTATCAAAGAGTAAGTTGTATGGGACCCTCCAACTGACTCACTGGTAACTGATATCCTCACTGCTAGTTACACTGGGACCAAACAAATACGTGTGATGGTAGGAGTCTAATGGGCCTTCCAATAATGAGCAACTTTCAGTGGAAGTCAAGGTGCCTAGAAGAGGAAGTTTTAGCTTCACTGTGTAAAGGAGCAATGTTTATCTGAGCTAGGGTTTTTTGTCACCTTATGTATTCTAGACAGCAAAATACACATTTTTGGAAAAAGAAATGTAATCCCAACAAAGATATGAGTGTAAAGGGTGAGAAAAGTAAGTGAGGAAAGTACTTGGTATAGAGAGACAAGTAGCAGTTGTGGAAGGAAAGTCTGGACCAAATTAAACGTCTTCATGATTTTTCTAAAGATACTTGCAAAAACATTGAATATTATCCTTTGCCAATACTTCTTCCTCCAGTTGTTTAAGAGCAAATGCTCTGGAAACACTATGAGTACGCAAGCATAGAATTTATCGTGGGGACTTTTTGCCTTATGAGAGAACAGCAGGTGCAAGCTGCAACTGTTCTGACAATCTTAACTATTGGCATCACTTAACTATTGGTTTCTCCCAAATCAGTATTGGACTGATTTATTATTTTTTAAATGAAAGCTGTTGGGTTTCATATATTTACCAGAACAATTCTTCCCTTTGCAAAGCTTCATGTCCCTGGTGTTGCAAAAGGGCAAGAGTGTGAGGAACTTAACAAGAGGTTTGGAGGAGGAATGGCACTCCTGCAATCTCAGAACATGGTGCAGCTGTTGAGTGATATGCTGAAGAGGAATTCACTCATGGCACATATTGTGTGTCTAAGAGATCCATCAGTCTTTTTTTACTCCCTTTGGAAGAGTTGCTATTTTCCCCATATCCTGCTGAAACATGGTGCTCACACATCTATTCTTCACATTCCATACACATTGCTGATATTTTTCTGATTGTTGGTTCCTATATCCTATGACTTCCTTGCATGTAGATGTGGGTCTAACTCACCTTAGTGCTCTGAATACCTCAGCACAAAGACACTTGATAAGTTCCTGTGAATGAGTGTGGGTGTTGCAGAGAATAATCATATGATTCTGCAGATAATTCTGGTAATATGTAGCTCTCTAATTTTCTTGCCAGGTATGGTTTTATTCCCACATACTTCATCTCATGAGGGAGAAGGAGAACAAACTCGTACAGATATTGATTTTTTATGTTTTTATCTCCTCAGCATCTTTGGGGCCTACAGCATGGATGTCATTATTGGCACATCATTTGGAGTAAATGTAGATTCCCTCAACAACCCACAAGATCCCTTTGTGAAAAAAACCAAGAAGTTCTTAAATTTTGATAATTTCAATCCCTTGATTTTTTCAGGGTGTAAGTAAATTGTTTATTCCTTCTTTCTTCTTTTGAAAGGATTGTATTTATTTAGGCATAAGATACATGGCATGTAAGTAACACCTGGATTTAATGTTTCGGTGTATATGTCAGGATTAGCATTGCTGAAGTATCAGATAGTTCCATCTGTTAAGCAACAGAGAAAACATTTTCTACAGCACTTTTTTTCAACCAGGAATGTATAAGTTCACATTTAACACTTGGGCTGCCCATGAATTGATTGCAATCATGGTAGTGTGTGTGAAGTGACATACCACTGAGGTTTTGATTTGTATTTCCCAGATGTTGACGATGAGTGATTGCATTTTCTTTGGATAAATGTCTGCCAAATTCTTTGCTAAGTGAATTTTTGTGCTTTAAGCATTGAATTTCAAGTGTTCACTATATATTCTGGTCATATTTTGTTATCAGATATATTACTTGCTATATTTTTCTTCCATCTGTAAATTTCTTCTTGTATTAGTGCATTTTCTTTTTTTTCTTTTTTTTTCTTTTTTATTGAGGGGGTGGGTACTGGGAATCCAACTTGTGACCTTGCGCTTGCTAGGCAGGCACTTATGGCACTGAGCTAAATCCCCAGCCCCCTGTATTAGTAAATTTTCATGACACATAATATTTAGTTTTCTTTTGGGGGACTGATGCATGTGCATAATGTCTTTTTTCATATTACCATAAAATGATTTTTTATTAGTATGATGATTATTGATATACTTTTAACAATAAATTTTTCCACTTTCTGATGTCCTCTTGCACTTTCTGATTTCCATTTTCAGAGTATTATACTTTTTGTTGTAGAGCTCTGTCATTTTCTTAGTTAGGTACTCCCTGTGTATTTAATTTTTCTGGATGCTATTGTGAATGGCTTTTTTCCCTAATATCTTTCTCAGTGGTTTCTTAATATTGCTATTGATTTTGTGTGTGTTCATTTTGTATCCTGCTGTTACTAGGTTTGTGTATTAATTCTAAGAGTCTTTTGGTAGATCTTTAGGTCTTCTATATATAGGATCATGTCAGCTACAAATAATGAAAATTTGATTTGTTCCTATACTATACACACCCTTTTTTCTTTTACTTGCCTGACTGCTCTTCCTAACTTTTGAGTGAGATATTTAGCAAGAGCTGTGACAGGAGACATCCTTGTCTTGTTTCTGACTTTTAATGATATTTTGCATTCTGTTTGCTAGTATCTTGTTGGGAACATTTGCATTCATATTCATTAAAAAGATTGGTCTAGGGGTCTCTTTCTTATATAGATCCTTGTGTGCCTTTGGAATTAGAATAATTACAGACCCCAGAAATGCTTATTGGGACAATCCCACAAATTTACCCATAAATTTCTTTTAAAACCATGAGAAGTATTGGTGTTAGAACTTCTCAAAAGTTTTTGTACAATTCAGCAGTGAACGTATCCAGACTTAATCTTTCTTTGTTTGTTAGTAGGCTTTGTATTACTCATTCTAATTCAATGAGTTTTACTGGATTATTCAGTAAATTTGTATATTCTTGGATCAGTGTTTTAATTTACATTAATCTAGGAATCCATCCATTCTTTCATGAAATTTCCAATTTATTGTTGTAGGTTTGCAACATACTTGTTAATAACCTTTTATATTTCATCGGTGTCCATTTTCATTTCACTTTTTTCATTTCTAATTCCATTGATTTGAGTTTTTCTCCCTTGTTTTATGTTAGATTTATTAATGGTTTGTTTATTTTGTTCATTTTTTTTTGTCTTTTTCCTTTTTATCGATACCGGGGATCGAACTCACGACTGCCTACTTCCAAGGCAGGCGCTTATGCCGCTGAGCTAAACCTCCAGCCCCATATTTTGTTCATTCTTTCAAGGAACAAACCTTTAAAAAAATTTTATTTTAAAGAGTATAAAACAATACAGAGCAAAACAAAATAAAACTGAACAAAGCAGAGGAGAGCTGAGTAAAACAATGCAAATAACACGGGATTTGAGAAAAAGACAGCAGGAAATCAACAATGGCTACCATAATGTCTGTTGTTTTCTTCAAAATAGTTGTCCATACCTTCACACAAAATAAGTTAGTACAAATCAAAATAATATAAAAGCAGTCAAAAGACAAGAATGAGAGCCTTAAGTGCTTCCAAGACCAGAAACTAGGAAATCACTAAAGGCTACCATAATGTCTCTTGTTTTCTTCAAAATAATTGCCCATATCTTCATACGTATTGAAATCAAATAATTCAAAACAGACTAAAATAAATCAAAACCAAGAGTAAAAGTATTACTGAACTTTGAATCAAAATGATAGGAAATCATCAGTGGCTACCATAGGGTCTCATTTTCTTCAGTGTAGTTGTTCATATAATCACACATAATAAAATCAATTCTTGTAAACCCTTTAGGTGAAGTTCAAGGCATATATCAGCCTATGCATGTACACCTATCTTTTCTGTATTAGATAGAAAAACAAAACAACAAATAAATAACTGTAACTAAGAGCCCAAAACATTAACAGTGTAGGCTTTCAAAACAAGGTAGTAGGAACAAAACATATTTTGTTGTTTTGCATATTTATCTTCAAAAACCTTACTCAAATTACCAGATATAGTCATGCAAAATTGATCAAATCCTACGGATGTTAACCTTTTTGTTTCAAGAACTAATAGAATTAGTAGAACATTCATCTTAGTAATCTTAACTGTATATACACAAATTAATCTTACTTCTTTACTCTTCCCTCATTTTTCCTTTTTTCTGCTTGAGTTAAATTTTCTTTTTTATTTAAAAAGAAAAAGAGAAAAAACAAAACAAAACAGTGTAAGAGTACAAATAATACAGAACTACAAAAAACAGTAAGAAATCAGGAGTTAATAGATTACATATTATCATCTTAGAGATAGTTGTTCAAGTCACAGGATCAAAGCATAAAAAGTAGACATTCAAACAGTGAGACTGCAAACAGTTGTGCTCAATGATCCAATCAAAAACATTAATATGGTCTTCTATTTAACACACCTAATCACACTTGAAGTCGTATCCTTTAGAGCACTTTTTTTCCTCTCTTTATTACAACAAAATTTACACATTTTGGGTTTTATTACTCCCATAGTTCTTACTACTATTTTTTGGAAGAGAATAAAATCAAATATGACAAAACAAAACCGTCAGTCAAAACCAAAGATAGACATAGCACATGATGTAAAAACAGAGTACAAGGTTATCAACAATGGTTACCATAATGCCTCTTGCTTCCTTAAGAATTGTCTATTTCATTAGGTATTATAAAGTTGAACGAAACAGTAGAGAACAAGACCTATAAAACCTAAACATTGTAAATATTACAGGACTTCAAAAGAGGATACTAATCAAACCAGAATGGGCATCATAGTGAACCTTACTGCCTTCAAAGTAGTTGCCTATACCCTCAAACTTAATACTATCATACAGAATGGAACAGAGTCTAATCAGTCAAAACAAGATAGTGGAAGAATTACAGGACTTCAGATCAAGTTAATAGGAAATCAAAAAGTTACTATAATATATCCTGCTATTTTTTAATTTTTCCCCTTAATTAAAAAAGTAATAAAATAAATAAATAGTTTTTTAATGAATAAGAGAGATTGAGATAGAAGAGGACATAACAACATAACAATATAGGTCAAAGCATGACAGTTTCAGCAACCTAGTGCTTCACCACCAAATAACCCGACTTAATAGTAGTTGCCATAGTATATTTTTCCTTGAAATATTTGAATATAGCTTTGTATAGTATAGCATCAAACATATCAAGACAGTGTCAAACCATTCAAGTGGAAGAAAGCATTGTAGGGTATTTAGAACCAGTTAACAGAAAACGAACAATGGTTTCTATATTATCTCTTTGCCTATAACAATTTTTGTTTATACTATCATGTATAATAAAATCCTGCAAGATACAACATGATAAAACCAATGGAGACAAAAGAGCCATACTTTGGTGGGGCTTCAAAACAAAATGGTATTAAATCAGGACTAGCTATTATGATGTCTTGTTTTCTTCAAAATAGCTGTTCATTTCATCACAGACAATAATATCAAGCAGCCCAGAATACAGCCATTCCAATTAATAAGTGAAAACTTGATAAGGCTTCAAGGCCACATAATGGGGAATCATGATTACCACATACTTTTAAATATTTGAATCATTTCCTACACTAGGGAAATTATTCAGTATTCACACGTGTGAGTTTGATTTATTTCACTTATGAGTATGGTTTCAAGCTGCGCCCATTTATTGATAAATATCTCAATGTGATCCTTCTTTATAGCTGAGTAGTACTCCATTGTATAGAAATACCATAACTTTTGTATCCATTCCTCAGTTGATGGACACTTGGGTTGTTTCCAAGATGTGGTGATTACAAATTGTGCTCTTATAATCATAGGTGTGCATATATCACTGTGATATGATGCTTTCACTTCTGGGAATATGTCTAGAAGTGGAATAGCTGGAACAAATGGGACTTCCAATCCCAGGTTTTTGAGAAATCAACAGATTGACCTCGACAAAGGCTGGACCAGTCTACTCTCCCACCAACAGTGCAGGAGATTTCCTTTTTCCCACAGCCTCTCCAGCATTTGTTGTTGTTGGTTTTCTTCATCCTGGCCATTCTTTTAGGAATGAGATGGAATCTCAGCATATTAATTTGCATTTCCCTAATGACCAATGATGATGAACATTTTTTCAGGAATTTATTTGCTATTTGTATTTCTTGATCTGAGAAGTGTGTATTCATCTCAGATGCCCATTTTTGGATTGGATCTTTGAATTTTGGGGGTCTGAGTTTTTTAATTCTTTATATGTTTTAGACAAAAGTCCCTTGTCTGAGGGGGAGTTCACTGAGATCTTTTCCCAGTTTGTGGGTTTTCTTTGCACTATGCTGGTGATTTTTTTGGACATGCAGAAACTTTTTAATAAGAGCTGGTCCCAGTTATTCATTCTGGGAAGTATTTCCCATGCGGTTTG